TGACGTCAAAAGACAAAACTCAATAAATTTAAAGAATTGGGTTTTACTAGCAATTCATGAATCAGGCAGCACCCAATCTACAAAAAACAGGTGCTCTGTTGGGCACAACAGGACAGTTGGTTTTTCTAAGGTAGGTTGAGCAGGAACAAGGGAACAGAATAATACAAGAAGTAGATTGGTTAACATCAGGTTATTTCAGGTTACCTTTCTTGTAAGGGTTAAAGCAGAGAGCAGACTTCTTTATCATGCCAGAGCAGGTGGACTGGGCTGTTTCAGATTGTTTGCTATGAATCTCCTGCTTTTAAGAAAAAAAAAGGTCTAGGGATTTTCCTGCTTTGTTAATGTTTCAGTTTAATTACATGGCACTAAGCACGAGTGATTCCATTTTGGTTAGCTCTAGTTAGGGCTTAGTGCAGCTCAGTCGAAAACAAAGCAACTGGGGCTCCTATGAAAGACCTGCTCCCATAAATTTTAACCCTGATAAACCCTGTAACTCTAATCATTAAAAAAAAACCCACACACAATAGAAACAATAGTTTTCCTCCATTCACAGGGGAAGAGGATGTTTCTAACCCACAAGACTCCAGCTGGATTCCTTGGGACTGGAAAGAGTAGCTAAGTATTCTGGCATCACCTCACATCAAGAAGCCTGGCCCCTGGGTGGGAGCGACCAGACCAAGCCACCCAGGGGCCCCAGCTCGAAGCTTTAGCAGCTCCTCCTGGAGGGAATGATGTCCATTTTCCAGTGGGCCCTATGGACCGCAGCACTGTGCCCATCCCATGCTTCTGAAGTCCCTGCACACACCCTCAATCCATGGGGAGAGGAGTGGGTGTGTGGGGACCTCATTCTTCACAGTTCTGAGCAAATCTCCCATAGGAGCCCCAGTTGCTCATAGTAATCACTTGCTCCATTAATACACTGGTGTTTTTCCTTTCCCATCTCTGCTGTTTCTCCCTTCAGATCAGTCTGGGGATAGGCTGTTCTCAATCTTCTCCTTGAGGCTGCTGCAGTAGCATTCCAAGCAATGGCCTTGGCCCCCAGGGTCAGTTCAGGCATAAAATGTGGTCCATCTGCATTCTTTCCCTACCCAAGAATGGCATGCACTTGTGCCCTCTCAGTGCTGGGGTGAATAAGCAAGACATTCACGAGGCCCCTACCAGGCCCCAAACTTCTGAGAAGACAGTTTGAAAAGTACTCCATTTAGAATTTCATAAAAAGATTCAGGGCCATACAGCCTTGTATAAAACTGGCTAGCAAAACTGGCACGTTTTTAAAAAATAAGGCCAAAAAGGCTTACTGTGTATACATCCATATGATGATATACTTCAGATCCTTTAATTGCTGGAAGTAGACAGTATAATAGGAGGATTCAGTAAGAACAGAGCCTGGGTCTGAGCAACAAAACCATCTGAGATCTGTCTTTAAATAGATAAAACCACCATTCGAACAAATTACTTTTCTCTTCAATATACAAATGACATTTAAAACATTTATTTTGGATTACCCAAACCCATAGCTAGGCTGCTTATCAACATACACAGTGTGTAGGCATTTGGACACATACTTTACCCCAGAACCCTTGGCACAAACCAGTAAAGTGGGTTCCCCATCCTAATATTTTTCAGGGTGATATACGTGTGTGTGTGTGTGTTAGGAAGGTATATGTGGAAGGTAGACACAAAAGGCTAGGCATCCTGTTCCTGGGTGGGGGATCCAATCTGTCCTGACTTAGCGATGGCTTTATAAATACCCCAGGGCCACAGTGGGACATGAGCACAATGAGGACTTTTTTTCTGCTGAGAACTTTGACCATAAGCGCAGGAGGGGCTCAGAACACAGGCTTCAGTCAGGCCCTCTGTACCTCCAATTCCCTCCTAAAGACAGAAGGAGGAGACACGAAGGCACAGGGGCCAGCTCTTAATAGGAGCCAACCCCTGTCCTGTTTCACACGGAGTGGATGAAGTTCCACTACTTACTCTTCCTCTGAGTTCCCTATGTCTTCATCAGGATGTCCAGGAATAAGCAAAATTAAGAGGGAGAGACAGCTGAGTCCACTAAAGTCCAAGAGCAAAAGAAACGTGGAGAGTAAGACTAGAAGATGCTGAACTCTAGGCCAGGTATAACTATGACTTAGGAATTTAATACAAATACCAAAAAAATAAAACATCGGAGATAAATGTAGGAATGAGAGCTTATTAAATTCCAGGAATATCTTACAGCCAGCTTTCTGGACATAGAGGAGCGGGCCTGGTCAGACAGGAAAGGGTGGCGGGGACAAGCAGCAAAGTGGGGGCGCCTTCCTCGCAGAGGGAAAGGCCAAGAAACTGGGCTTCTCAGGACACACAGGAGTGAGGTGTCTCGAGCTAATAAGAATTAAACCAAACTAATTAGAAACGAAACCTACCCTCATCAGCCATCTCCCTCTGTGTTAGCTTGCTTATCCTCTCCGGAAAGAAAAACAAATCCTTTTCCTAACTTTCATGGTTTGAATGAACTAAGATCTCTTCTAGCAATCATTATTCCAGAATAATAGAATTTTAATCTTGCAGATCCCCATAAAAGCAGTGAGGTAGCAGGGGCTTTAAAAACTCTTTTCTTTTAATCACCCCATAGGGCCTCTATTTTAAATTTCTTTAGCATTTCACCACCAGCTGAAATTTTAAGTATCTGGTTATTGGTTCCCCACCACCAACCAGCCAACCCCCACCACACACACGTACACACATGCAAACTCCACTCCTCACTGCTCTGTCTCCTCGCCCTGTCTGGTAACCAGTACATGCTTAACATTTCTTGAATTCATCTGCTTTACCAATCACACCAAACTCAGTACTGCTTGTAAATTGTGCTTTAATGTCTGCAATCAGATATGACGCAGTGAGATACAAGTATAAACTTTCATTATGCATACAGAAAATAAAAGGCATATTTATACAGTTTTAGCCCGACAGCTTATTCCCTTATAAAGAAAAAAAATGGAATTTAATTAAAGCTAGTTTATCTTCAGTGTAAAAACTTGGAGGTATAAACAAACTCAAGGTATTATATACAGTAAATTAATGTACATTTCCAAACTTGCACATTACAGCATTTTGAACAAAGCAAATGGTCTCATTTTAGCTTTTACTAATTAAGCATAAGATCCACATCTCAAACTTGGATAAAAATTTCACAATATATAAACTCACTGAGAATTCTGTACACAAATACAAGTTATAGAAATCTGATTTCAAATATAAATACGAAAACTGTCATGACCTTACCATGTTACAACAGCTTACTTATTTTTCTATTTTTTTTTTTTTTAAAAATCATAGAAAAATATTTTAATGCACATTCAACTGCTATGACAAGGGCCATGACCTTGTGCCTTTAAACCATACTTGTGGAGTATAAAGCATCACACCAGGTATTTTTGGAATGAAAATTACTAAGACTGAAGAGGCTACCATATAAATAGTCAGGTTATAATATAGTAACAAAAATATTTAGCTCCATAGTGTACTTGGGAGACAATGGGGCAGAAAAGTGAGTGGAGGTTAGTGCTAACTTAAAGAGGGCCGTAGAAGGTATGTGAAGGTGGCTGAGGAACTAGTTAGTGTACTTCAAAAGATCCCTACCACAAGCCTAACACTGACCTTGCTATAACTCTTAAGGCAACGAAGACTGAACATGTGTTTGGCCCCAGATGCATGAATCCTGCCCTCCCCTCGGCCTAAGAGACCATCCTGGCTCTCAAGTTAACATGGAGTGGGGAGCACAGCAGAACAACCTAGCCTGCATACAAAAGACGATTCAGTGCAAACCTAGAAACACCTCTTTGTCAATAGTAATTTCTTATTGCCCTTGAGCAATTGAAAGTTTTTCTAAACAAACAACATTCAAACTGGGATCCACACTGGAGATCAAACTGTATGAAAGGCAAACATTCAATCGAAAACATTCTAACACAAGTGTCTTTCCCCTTTCCTTTGTGGGATTTGACAGGGTTCCACTGAGAATGAAAAAACTAATCCTTACAAAGTATGCTTTCCTACATTTTAAAAAAGAAAAAAAAAAAATATATATATATATATATTTCATTTAGACAGTAGATCAAAGAAGACCAGGCATAGTCAAGTTTCTTCTATGGCTTTTTAAATCACTGAGGTATTTATTACATGATAATCACCACTTCTGATATTTATGTTTAACTACTTTCCTATGAAAACCACATTCAAAAGTGACCCCACCAGTCTATAAGGGTAACAGAATGTGAGGAAGCTGGCTGAAGGGCTGCAGAGAAGCACATCACCAAAAAAGGCAAAGCAATTCATTCTAAACAGTGAGAGATTCAGAGGGATGGGAGCTCCTCTGGGCAAAGAAATCCCCCCCACTTTAACCATCTGGTTTAGCAGCAGGACACTAAGACCATGTGCCCCATGGTGGCAGTGCGAGGGACAGTGGGGAGTGCAAGGGACAAGAGTGAGCGATGCTGCGCAGGTGGAGGAAAGACCTGGAGCTGTCAGCGAGGAGAGAAGGCAGGTGCTGGCCCGCCCGCCACCAGCACGAAAAGCACACAGCTTATGCAGGAGGGAAGATGAAGTGTCAGGATGAGACACCACTGGAATTCCCCAGCTTTTCTACAGGCAAGAGGACACAGAAAGGAAAAATGCTATGGTTTAAGTAAATGCCATGTATCTTAATACCTCTATTTGAATCTTTCAATTTGCCATATAAATATCACATAAAGCTAAATTTGCTCCTAACTGAAGATTACAGAGAACCTTACTATTCCCAAAGACTGGATAAATTTATCTTGGCACAGAAAGGATATAAAGACGCATCAAGTCCAAGAAAATCTTAGTGAAGCCCTTCCCATTGTAAACCAGCCAGTGTGGGTTCTAATACTTAAGCATCAGAAAACGGCCACAGTCCTGCTGCTATGGGTCAAGTAATTTAATAACACTTTTAATTGCATAGTCTTTCAGAACCATAAAAAATAACAAGAAACAGCTCTTTTCCTGAAAGCCCAGATTTACCCCAACAGAGCGCTGGGCGAATGACTGTCCTACAGCTACTACCTGTAGCGTGACTCCAATCCAGGGATCAGTTGTCCCAATCTCCCACACTCCTCTTTCACAATCACGACAGGTCACAGGTCCCCTAGGTCCACAAATTCATCTTCTCGTTTGGCCAAGTCTTCCTCATCTCCCAAAGCTTTCCAGCCACTGGTGGGTAAGACAGGCTTAGAGGAGTGTCGCTGCAGCAATGCAAAAGGAAACAAAGAGGACAGGCGGGCAGAGTTAACGGGCAGGCAGGGGGCCTCTGCCTGGGGCGCCTCCTGGCTGTGGTGCCTTTCCTCAATTTTCTCTTGTAAGCTCTGCACTTCCTCCATCATTTCCAAGAGTTTGCTCATAGTGGCCACTCTGCCACCACCTAGAATCTGGGCTTCTGGAATCCATCGCATGTAGCGCTGGGCCCAGACTTTGATTTCTGGGCCCTCTATGTGGGGCAGCAACAAGCCGTGGTAATCAGTGGGCTTACTGTGCCAGCTGTCATAGAACTCGCGGAAGTTGTCTTGCAGGTCGTCAGAAGAATTAATAAGTTTGCTAATTCTCTTGCCCAGAAGGTTTTTAATTAAATGATCTGTTTCTTCCCTGAAAAATCCTCGTTTGGGAGATGACTTAGATTGCGTGAGTGGCAAAGAAAGTTGTCGTTGATGCTTTGAGAAAAAACACACATAAAAATCTCTGGTTAACATAAGATCCACAGTTAAAGTTGTTACCATCCAGCCTAATCCTGCTTTAATAAGTTTGGAGACATTAGAATGACGTGAACACACACTCATAAAAATGCTGCCACATAAAGACAACCATAGGTATGGCATCAGAAACAAATGGGGGGACCAGGTATGTGTGGCAACTGTGTATACAGGCATGATGGGACACACAGAGGGTAGCTGTCACATCACAGGGAGACCAAAGGACACAAGTACTCCTGAAAAGCCACTTAAAGTTAGGTGAATGATTTAAGGGCGTTCAGAACATGCCTATTCACCTTTTGAGTAAAGCAAGATGTTTCTTCTTTGAGAACTTTAGGGCCGTTAACCACTACAAAATTCTTTTTTTTTGAGACAGAGTCTCACTATGTCATCCTGGGTAGAATACTGTGGCATCACAGCTCATAGCAACCTCAAAGAGGAACACTGGTGTATGTGGCTGGTGCCCAACTCACTGAGCTACAGGCACCAAACCAACCACTACAAAATTCTCAACACCTGCAAGGAAGCAGGGCTGAATCACCTGAAGATCCTGAAATATTTAGAAGCATATCAAGCATCCAGTGGAAGTTTAAGCCGAAAGCATAAAGATTATTTGAGACATAGAGAACAGAGGGACAGCTCGGTACCTGTAGCTCAGCGGCTAGGGCGCCAGCCACATACACTGAGCTGGCAGGTTCGAATCCAGCCTGGGTCTGCCAAACAACAATGACAACTACAACCCCAAAATAGCCAGGCCTTCTGGCGGGCACCTCTAGTCCCAGCTACTTGGAAGGCTGGGAGGCAAGAGAATCGCTTAAGCCCAAGAGTTTGAGGTGAGCTGTGATGCCATAGCACTTTACAGGGGGCAACAAAGTTGAGACTCTGTCTCAAGAAAAAGAAAACGGAGGGAGGCAGGTGGGAACAGAGGGATTAGAGGAACCAGCTTAGCTGGCCAAATGTTCTTATCTGACAACCTGCCCAGAGTAGAAAGCTTGAGAGCATCCATATTTTCTTGTGGAATATGACAGAACAATGAAAATAATTTTAAAAAGGCAAAGCCATTCACAACTCAGAGATGAGCAGGATTTTGGAGTGTCCACAGGAGAGATCAAGGCCAGGAGTTGGGGGGTCTCTCTTCTCCACAGCGGATAAAGTGTGTCAGGCAGGGCAGGTCACTGGAGAGCACAGACAGAGCCTGTCACTGAGCGCTTCCTGCCTGTCAGGCTCTGTGCTCAGTGCCTTATGTACATCGATGGCCCTAATCCTCAAAGTCACTATTACTGCCTCATTTAACAAATGGAGAAACTATGGCACAAGGATTAAGTAGTCTGCCAAAGACACCAGCTACCAAATGTCAAGGCTGTTTTCAAACAGTGTGGCTCCAGAGCCTGGGGTTGTCACTGAACTGGACTTGGTCTTGGAAGCCCCCCTTTCTCAAGCTTCTAAGTGAAAGGGACAGGCCAAGGCAGAGCTGCACAGGCTCAGGACCTGTGGCTGAAGCTGAGAGTGCACAGCTGAGTGGACTCCTGTCTCTGATGCGGCCCTTCACGAAGCAGCCCTGTACGTTCACTGGTAAGAGGCAGCTTCCTTAAGGACTCTACAGCACTTCCTCAAGGCCACCAGTCCATTCAGCTCAGTGACCCCACCTGAAATCAGTCTTTTTACCTAAACCTTTCAAAGCTCCCTGTTGCTCCAGTGCAACTGAAATCCTCCACCTGCTGGCTATAACCTCTCCCAGCAGCCTGCTCTGGGGCCCAGCCTGCTCACTCCTATCTACTAGGAACCAGGATGATTAGGAAAACTGAGTCTGAGGAAAGAAATGAAGTCCATTCATAGAAAGGAAAGGCTTCATTTTCTCTCCTGTAAAATAAAAAGTGGGCCTCGCTGTCCCTGAGCTCCCTCATCATCTGGCATGGGGCAGTTCTGTGACCCTGATTGGCTCCCCTGAGATTGTGCGTGTGGCCACTAGAGGGCACAACACACTGAAGAAAAGCTGGTTTCTGGCCAAGTTTCTCAGGGCTCAGGGCAATGCTGGTCAAACCGGCAGAATTGGCTGAACCAGAAAGAGGAAATGCACCATGGGCCTGAGCAGAGTGCTAAGTCATTCAGCAGCTAACACTGTCTCTGACTTCTGGCTTTGGCTCACCTAGGTACCCAATCCCCTTTAGGTTGCAATCGATTCCCACGCCAGAACTGGCCAGGCTCCAACAGCCCCCAGGCTAGGCAGGATCAGGAAGGCAGAAGAAAGGGCAGGGCACACCCCGACTTGCACTTACTATCGCTGCTCTCCATTTTGTAGGGTTTATTGGTCCATTTCTGCTATGGAATTTGATAAGCCCCTAGCTCAGAAATTCTGGACCTGGAGACAAAGCTGTTTAAATAAAGTTACCAGTTAGAGGACTCTGGGTTTAACAATTAGTAAAATCAGGAACAACTATCTGAAAAATAAATCCTTGACATTTGTGGTCTGTAGCATGGGTTAGCAAAGTGGCAGCCTTTGGCTAAATCTGGCCCAGCACTGATTTTTGTGAATACTGGAACACACAGCGGTGTGTTCTATTTACCTAGTTATTGTCTAGGACCACTTTTGTGCTACAACAGCAGAATGGGAAGGTTGCCAGAAACTGACGGCCCTTGATAGAAAAGTTTCCCACCCCCTGGCTTACAAGGTACAGCCCATGAAGAAAAGTCTCACTATTAGCGCATGAACGGGTATCTGCTGAGTATGATCACTGCTCCTTTCACTCCACTAACCACACACACACACACACACACACACACACACACACGGGGGTGAGAGACACGATCCCACGTGCCCAACTACAGCAGTAGCACCTTTGTGACATTCAGCAAATGGCCATGTCTCATTAGGGCAAAGGCTGATTTGCTAAATGCAAAGGATTGATTCTAAAGGGCACTGACAAAGTGCCTCACAACAGAGCTCAGGGCTGCAGACTGTCTCGGGGGTGAAACACACACTGGCAGACAGAATATATTCCCCCCCCTCCCCCGCCCCGGTCACATTTATCCTCACACACACGGGCCCTGGGATGGACACAGGAGTTAGACATTCGCATATCTTACTTTGAAACGTGTTCCTTTCCGTTGGCCTTTGTCCAGTTTTGGCTTTTCCACATAGAGAGGGTTTTTGAGCAATGTCTGGGCTTTGGGTTCAAACTGTACAGACCAGTCCCACACGGTGAGCAGACTCAAAGGCTTGCTTTGTATGTCCTGGCTTTCCCTACCCTGCCAAAACAAGCACAGGTCGCCATGGCATTTGGGAGGGGAGACACCATTCTGAGCACGAGCACCAGGAAAGGCACTCCTGTCCTGTCCTGACAATGAATGCTCACGGGCATTTCATTCTCAGAGGCTGAGGCTAGCAGAGGTTATTTACTCAAAGCTTTCAGGCGGGAGGAGGGTCAGCAGGATGCCAGCCACTGGGCTGGGCACTTTTATCACCTCGTTAGGTAACTACTATTTTTCCAATTTTATATCTGAGGAAACTGAGACTCAGAAAACTGAAGTGAACTGCCCAAGGTCACAAAGCTGGGCTCTGAAAACAGACCTGTCTGACTCAGAAGCCCAGGCTCTGTTGTTCCCACCCTGCTATGGAATTTGGGAAGGCCCTAGCTCAAGCAAGCCCCAGGCCAGCAGCAGGCTGGTCAGCAGCACTGAGATTAGCTGAGAATGTGACACCCTTGGGACATAACCTCAAGAGGGAGGGTCTGAAGGAGTTTAAGCTGGAGAGGAAAAGCCCAGCTTCCCTTTACAGAGCAACTCCAGCCATCAGGCAAATGGAAGAGACAGCCTTTGGTCTCTTTAAAAAAGGACAGCTTTTAATTTTGCTTCATTCCCCAGCTCCAACATCACTTCCAGCTCCAATATTTACATGACCAAAGGCCAGTTACTCCTTCATCCTTTCCTCAGCTTCCTCAGGGATAAGAATGACGTGAGGATCAAATACTAACACCCCGAGAGCACTTACAACAATGCCTGGCACACAGTCAGCGGTGAACAGTATCATTTTTAGCCTCAATTGTTATTGCACACTACTTGTGGGACAGAGCTTCTTTCATACACAGGTTCTTAAGAGGGACTCTTACCACGTTCGTATCTTTTTGATGAGGTGAATTGAAGAAGAAGGTGCTAAAAATTGGTATGTACAGGCTATCTGACAAGACAGTCAGGTAAGTCTCTGTGAATTCAAATGCTGGGGGATGCTGGTGCACCAGCTGCCAGACACAATCTAGGAAAAGCAGGAACACAGGAACCTATGTGAAAACAAGATATACGTTACTTAGCAGGCACAGAACCTAATGCAAGCTGTCCCGAGTCAAGCGGTGGCCATCTCCATCGCTGTAGCATAACCACTTCTGAACACTATGTTCTCGGGGAAACTCAGTATATATCCATCCCATTCCAAGTGTTAAATATGCCCAATTGAAATCACATACTCAGGGATTAATGTCAGCATTTGGCAAAACCTTTCAAAGATGAAATATGTAAAAATTTCATTATGGATCAGCATTAACAGAGGAGCATTTGCCATAAATTTGGATGATACGGAACACTAATTTAGAAACCAACTAAGCTAAATGTTATCTCCCCCCACCCGCCAAGAATTCCAGTCTTCTCATTAGTAGAGCTGTATTACAAAAATTGTACTCAGTATGATTACTTTGTCAATAAAAAATTACGAGGGAAAAAGTTCCATCTCCCTGCTTGCCCACACAACTATGGTCAGAAATTTGTCCTGGACACTGAACTGAAATGAGAAGCCTCCCTCTATCCCCACAGTGAGTCCCCAAGGGACAGGAGAGAAGACAGAGCAGTAAAAATGTATCTTTTAAAAGACACAAATGTAAATCCATGAGTCTCCTTTATTAGCTACCCAGAAGTGAGCTCTTGATTAGTGAAGAGAGTAATTTCTAGGGAGCATTATCATGTACAAAGTGCTTATCTTTCTTGATTCACCAGTGATCCTGCCAGGTAGGTCAGAGAAGCTATGTTATAGTTTCTCCCTTACAGAGGAGGAAACAGAAAATTAGACATCATCAGAGGCTGGCCCAAAAGTCTTGCCCACAGCTGGGAATCCAGCTGGGTTTTTTTTGGACACAGTCTCACTCTGTTGCACAGGCTGCCATGATATCAGCCTAGCTCATGGCAACCTCAAATTTCTATGTTCAGCCTCGGCGTCCCTAACTCCGTGGTTAGGGCACTGGCCACATGCACTGGGGCTGGTGGGTTTGAACCTGGCCTGGGCCTGCTAAACAACAATGACATCAAGTTGTGGCAGACGCCTGTAGTCCCAGCTACTTGGGAGGCTGAGGCAAGAGAATTGCTTAAGCCCAAGAGTTTGAGGCTGCTGTGAACTGTGACATCACGGCACTCTATTGAGGGTGACGTAGTGAGACTATCTCAAAAAAAAAAAAAATCCTATGTTCAAAGGATCCTCCTGCCTCGGAGTAGCTGAGACTACGTGCCTGCCACAACACCTGGCTAATTTTTCTATTTTTAGTAGAGACAGGGTCTTGTTCTCGCTCAAGCTGGTTTTGAACTCCTGAGCTCACCCTTGAGCCTTGGCCTCCCAGAGTACTAAGATTATAGGTGTGAGCCACCATTAATGGCCAGGAATCTACCTCTTGAATTAACGTCCATGCTGCTGCAGTTATATTACAAATTACCTAGCCAGTTTTCCTTCAAAACCCCAATATGTTAATGATGAAATGCTAATTAAACATTTATACAGCAATTTTATTTCAGACCTCATTTTATGTGCAATATCATTAAATAGAGTAGAAAACATTTAGATCTTGTTGTCCAGTAAGGGAAATGAGCTTGGACTCTCTTCCCATTAGACATGGTGACTCTATCAGGCTCCTTTTTCTCAAAATAAACACACTCCTCTCCAGAAACTGTCAGCTCTGCCTACCATGCTGTGGGAATCTCATCAACCTTTCAAATTAGTCCCTTCCAAGACTGAAAGACGGTGATTTCTATCCAGCTCAGGATAGAAGAGTATAGCTCAGGCCTGAGAGAAAAGCTACCTGGCTGAGTGAGAGAAGCCTGGGTTACCCCAGCACCCTGCCACGCCCCAAAGGGCAGGAGCCAAGGCTCTCACTGCTGCAGCATGCTGTATAAGTTGTTCTGAACCACAGACAGACGTGGTGATTATCTAGAGCAGTGGCTCTTAACCTTCTTAATGCTGCGACCCTTTAATACAGTTCCTGTGGGTCGTGACCCACAGGTTGAGAACTGCTGATCTAAAGGAAGAAAAACCATGAGTCATGCTACTAGCATATATCAACTCTGCAGGTGATTTAATTAAAGAAAGTTTGTTTTCAATTGTTCTTCCACCAATCATCAGTAAGGCAGCCAAGGAGTTTACATAGCTGCTGCCTAGACAAGCACACCACAATGTGGGGGGCTCATTTTCTGTAGGCACTAGCTTTTCTGTGCCTAAACTTAGAGGCCAAGACCTGAAGTGATTCACCCAGAGAGAGGCAGAAGAGGCTGGGGGCACAGAGCTGCATACGTTACTGCCAAGGACTTGCTGAGGACGGCTTTAATATAACCCTACACTCTATTTTGAAAAGTTTTATGTGAAGGAAAATTTATTTCATGTTATCATCCATGCACTAAGTATCCCTAATCCAAAAATCCAAAATATGAAATGCTCCTGAGAGAGGATATCCAAGAAAGGTGAGGTCTAGGAGATCAGGTCTTCTCAAAAAGACCACAAGGATAAACCTTAAGGGCCTCTCCATGGTGACTCAGCTCTTGGGAATTTGTATTCCAAGTTCTGTGAAATCCTGTAGTTCTGTAGGGGCTGGAATAGCATCTCCTGCTTGATTCTAACTGGCCAATAAGAACGGTGCCTGTGAGGTGGAACTTTTTGACTGTCAACAAAAAGGGAGCGAGAAGCCAGTCGATGAGAGTAGCCATTTTGAATTCTTCTATGCTGTAAGCTCCCAGCTGGTGAATAAAGCCCTTCTTCTTATAAATGTGGGGTTTGGGTGCTCTTTCTCTCTGTTGGACTTTGTCTTCCTGCAACACTTCAAAATCTGAAATTTTTTGACTGCTGACATAACACTCAAAGGAAATTCCAGAATCCAAAATCCAAAATACTACTGGTCTGAAGCATTTTGGACCTACAAAATGTCCTACATTTTCTGTAGGACACCTGCATCCTCAAGATCCATTTATTGCAAAGACTTAGTAGAAACTGTAGGAGTCTCAGTTACTTTATATTTAAGTTTTACAAAGCACTACTACTTTCACCATGACACACACACACGCACTCATGTACATACCCTGGTATACACAGTTTAGAGGAGAAGACTCTGAACACATTTGTTAATTTCCTTTTCCTCCAGGAAGAGTTTCATTATTATTTTGTCTAAATAATCCAAAGTCATCACACAATAAACTGACCCTGGTTTTCCTAACAAACCTGCACTGCCTGTACTTTGCAAGCAGCAGTGCTCCATCTGAAGGTGTGTCGCAGAGTGAACCAGAGGCTGAGTCGCTCTCTCTGCAATGGAAGTAGTCTGGCTGCAGGAACTCACCTCTTCTTTGTCACTCTGGCGGAGGTGGTTGCAGCGATCCAAGAAACAGTGGCCACCCATGACCCACTCCTTTTGGACAAGGCTCTGGAAGCCAATCCTGGTTCTGTAGTGGGGGTCCATCATCACTTGCACCAGAGAGGAAATGAGGCAGCAGAGGTCAGATGCATTCTCCTCTAGGAGGGGCCGGCAGCAGAGCAAAAAGGAAGCAGGGCATTAAGTTTTAAAAAGCTACAGAGCGCTCTCATTTGCATAGTTAGTTAAAAAAGTAGAATTCACAATACTGAGGTCTGCTATTAAAAGTCACACTCTTATTCTCCAAAGGCTGGAGTCAACAAAAAACAAGGCAATATTTTCAAAATGAAAGACAAATTGCTTCTAGCCTGTCTAGTATAGGCTCCAACCTACACTGGTGCTAAACACAGGTCTGCTTACCGAATGAACAAACTTTGTACTGCAAACCCACTTTCAGCACATGGGTGTCTAGGTGTGCCACACAATGGGAGCTGAATCATTCACGTGATGACCTGCTGGGCTCTGCAGACCAAGTCTAAAGCCCTTTCTTCCTGGGACATTGAAGCCTCTGCCTTTGAACTCACTGTTTACAGCTTGGCTGCATCTCAGAGCTCCTCTCCTCCACTCCTAAATCCTTACTAGCTCTGCTTTGGAGAAAGTTTAGTATTTCTAGACTGTACTGTAACGACTTATTTTTGGCTCCAAGGAGCTTTCCTTTTATGTTTTAGGAGCAAAGAGGTGCCTGGTTCTCCTTGCCTAGCCTGGGGGGGGAGTTCTCCTTGGTCTACTTCCACATGCCCACCTGAAATGCACTTTCCAAAACCCATAGGATGAAAACGTCCTCTAACATTCACATTCACGACTTACAGCATCTGTTCCTATGCATTCATCTTAGATTTAACATCCTAAAAGTCAAGATTTACATCTCCATGGTTTCCTCTTATACAAAAGTAAGTACAACTTAAGTTGATTTTTGCAAATGTTTGTGAGGAGGATGAAACCAACATTATTGGGGTCAGGAAAACTTAGGAATGAATTATAACTGGGGAGGTTTCATATGGTGCAAAGTTTTGTTTTGACCCCTGCAATCACAAAATACTACTGGCCCAAGTGTACACTTTTCTCTTCTGGGAAGCAAGCCTCAACTATGGAAGACACGGGTTTAAAAGGAACAAGGTG